TATGAAGGACATTCTACGGCCACTGTTTTAATGCAGTTTTAAAGGATTTTTCCTCAGAATCTGTTCTTCAGGCTTTTGGGGGTCCTGAAAACAGCTGTCTCCAAGTGGCTTATCCCAGGGACAGTGGTCAGGATGTATGTGAGTGAACATTGAGGAAACTGAGAACATATGAGAATCCTAAACTAATAACTAATCTATACTGAGTCTCTTCAAATAGTAGCATATTACTCTGGTACAGCTTTTGGAAAACATTCTTCCTTGGAGACAATAAAAGCAAGTGCAGTGTGGAATTCGGGACCAGACTTCCGTGGGGTGACATAGGTCAATTGGGAGATGTCATGGGGTGGTGGTGAGAAGACCTCCCTCTCCCAAAGCCACCTCTGCCACCTCCCAAGGGCTGCCGGAAATGCTCTGCTGAGAGTCCTTACAAGGCGTAGCGGTTAGAAATGTGTAAAATGTGTAGAATGTATTCCTGGGAGGGAAGACATTTTAAACTTTTATTATTCATTATACCTTACTGGGAATCATATGTAACATAGTTCTCAAAAGCAGGTTTTAAGATGGGGATAGAAAAAAACTGTAAAGATACCAGTGCTAAGAGTGGGAAAAAACGTTAGCTAAGAGGTGATAGGATACCTAAAATAACTTTTTTTTAACTTCCCAAATTTTCCAGCATATAATGGACAAAGATAATATTCTTAGCCACACAACTGCTTTAACTTTAGGACTAGGGCATACTTTTTAGAAATCACCTACTAATATTGTTTAAAACAGAAGCATTGAGAATGTAGGAGATTTATTAGTCAGGGCTCTGCTGCTCACTTACTGTGTGATCTAGAGAAGTCACTGACCCTCTCTGAACTATGGTTTTATTCATTGATAAAATGAGCACAATAATACCTGCTCTGCTTACCTCATGGGGTGGTTGCGAAAATCCACTGAGATTGCAGGAAGTAAAATTCTTTATAAATTAGACAAACACATTTATTTTTCATAATAGATGCTAGTGTAGAAAGGATGAGAGCTATGAAGCTCTTTCACTCAGTGTCAGTGGAGTTTATTGTTGGTGGCACATACACGAAACAGTTGTACCTTTTGTCTCTTGTTTCTTTAAATTTTGAAGAAGCTTCTACCAGGTTCAGAAAAGGAATCTTATCAGCATTTGGGGAAAATACACTTTATTGAAACTTCTTATAGTTTTTAACTCTAGGCACACATGTGCTTATAGGGATATCTAGCCAAGGAATGCTATTTTAAAAGAGAAAACCTGTTATTTGACCATCTTATCAAAGAATCATTAATTCATATCAGAAAATTGGGGAGGGCAGACACTCAGGGATGCTTCGCTAAGGAGCATGATGTGTCTGAGCGGTTATGACCCAAGTATCTGATTTGTTTCAGAGATCACTTGGTAATTACAAATGCTGGAGGTAGGGAAACCTCTTCTCTGCATTCGTATAGCTCTTGGACTATGTAGGACTTAATACTAAAGTTGCATTATGAGGTCAAGGGCAGAGCTCCCAATTTACAGATGTGTATGTCTCCTAGTTTCCGGAAGTAAATATTTATTAAATGAACTTGACCGAGGATGCATATCAAAGAGAGGAGGAAGTGGCACCTCTTGGCAGATTTTATCCTCAAGGCAGGTTACCTGTTCCTGCATAATTGAAAGGAGATCCTGCCAGGCTTGAAGGCTGTCTTACTCCTTCAAAAGAGATCAAGTCACAGTGTTGGCCCATGGGTGTCAAATAAAGGGCTGCACAGTTTAAGAAAGACATGAGAAGCTAGAAGACAGTTCA